TACACAATGCACCAAGTGCTGGCAAAAAAAACAACACACACACACACAAAACAGTACTTCCCTCCTTTCAGACCTAAAGAAACAACGAGGAAGGAAAGAAAAAACAGACAATTACTAAGCATCGACTCTGTGCCAGGAAACGATTCCCTTATTTTTAATCTTGTCAATTCAATGAAATAGGTTCTGTGATCCTCATATTACAGCCTTATTTAATCAAGACTCAGAGAGGTTAAATAACTTGCCCAAGGTTACACAGCCAGGAAATTGCAGAGCTCGGATTTAAATGTGAGTTCATATGGCTTCATAAGCCACACACGGTCTTTATTCTTTCCTTTGTCTTTTGTTTCCTTTTTATACTAATTTTTATTATTCTTAGAGCAGTTCCAAATACGTTCCTTCATTTTTTGGTGGCATTTATTGTTTTCTTTCTAATTGTATAAGCAAAATATGTTCATTGCAGACAACTGGAAACTACATAAAAAACACAAAGTGAAAAATAACTGTCACCCATAACTCCCACCCCTCAAAGATAACCATCATTAGCATTTTGATACATTTCCTCCCAGGGTCTGCATCTCTTTGTATAAAATCCATATCAGACCACTAACTAGTATGACCTCCTGCTTGGTCCAGTTCACACACTGTTCTGTGAGTGTTTTTCCATCCAAGTCAAAAAAAAAAAAAATTCTTGATTTGATTTGTGATTTTTGTGTATATTCACTCTTATGCATTTGCCCTAATATAGTTCTCTTGTCCCTTACTTTTAGACATCTAATTTGCTTCTGAATCTTTACTAATAAACATTGCATCGCAACGAGCATCTTTCTAAGTAAACTTTGAGCAGACTTCTTATGTTCAGGATGGATTCCCAAAGGGGGAGTTATAGGAGTAAGAAGCATGAACAGCTTTAAGGTCTTTAAAAAGAGTTTGAAACTGCTTTCTAAAAAGCTGGCTAGCAGTTTACCCTCCAACAGCAGAGCATGTGTATGCCCCCTGCTTTGGTTTTCAGCAAGGCCTGGAATTACGAGGTCATGTAGTAATGTTGGTTAAAGTTTTTGGGTGGGGGTGGGTAGGAGTCAGGAGCTAGGGTTAGGGTAGGACTATGATTAGGTCCAAGGAGCTCTGGTAGTGTAGTGGTTACAAATTGGGCTGCTAACCTCACGGTCGCAGTTCAAAACTACCAGTGGTTCCATGGGAGAAAGATGAGGCTTTCTGCTCCCATAAAGATTAAAGCCTTGGAAACCCTGTACAGGGTCACTATGAGTTGGAATCGACTCCACGGCACATCACCACCATACCAACTTTGCTTAGTGTTAGGGTCATGCTGAAGACTAGTGTTAGTGCTAGAGGTAGGGTCTAGGCTAGGATTAGGAGTAAGAATTAGTCTTGTTTTTAGGGTTACAGTTAGGTTTATTTTTATTTATTGTTATTGAAATCTCCTTGGTTTCCTTTTTTGGAAGTTCTGTAACTACAATATTCCCTCTTTTTATTTATATTTTCTGTTGTTGGTGGTGGTGGTGGTATTGTTAAGGTCAACTCATGGCGACCCTATATAGGGTTTCTGAGCAGTAGCTGGTGAGTTTGAACCACCGATCTTATGGTTCAAACTGACCTTACGGTCCAGTTCTTATCCTACAGTGCCACACCAGAAACAACAATGTTGGGTATCATTTATTTTTTAATAAAATATTTTCTCACGACCATGGTTTTTCCCACAGTAACTGATACTGTTGGTTGATAATTCCTGTTTTGCAAATGGGGAAATAGGGACCCAGAGAGTACAAATGGAATGTTGCCCCTGTTGGGGCTGGAACTCCAGCATTCAACCTCCTAGTTCAGGGTCCTCTCTCTGGTCTAGGAATGTTTCCCCAGGACCTCCCCTCCACTCCCAGGGCCGCACACAGTAGGTGCTATATACTACTTCTGTAGTTTCCAGACTTCGGTGATGATAAAGAAACACATGTGCCTCCCAGGAGAATTCTGACTGTATTTGTTGTTGTGTTGTTTGCTGTGGTGGATGATTATATTCAGGCAAGATTAGGAGCACTGTGCTGAAGGGTCCCCAAGCACTGAAATCTAGTGTCTCTCTCTCTCTCTCTCTCTCTCTCTCTCTCACACACACACACACACACACACACACACACACACACACAGGGAGAGGTGAGCTGGCCACGCCCTTTCCTGGTGTGGCCCAATCTGCCCTGGGCTCCTGCCAGCATGCCCTGCTGTGCCCCTCAGCCCTCAAAATCACCAAAGCTAATGACTTTTTTTTACTGATTTGCAAGTGATTAGTTTTAATTTGGGGACAATTAGAGGTAGAAGCCGGAAGCTTCTAATCCTGATTAGAAGCAAGAAGATGGCCAGAGGTACCTACACCCCAACCTAGTTCCAAGCAGCTTCATTTATGGGTTAAATGAGGGCAGGGAGGCTGGACTCTGTGTCCCTGGGGAGAGGGTGGGAAGGTCATCTGGGAATTGACCAGAAGGCCTCCACTGTGCTCCCAGACACTTAGGGCCAGGCTGAGATGAAAGGCGAGGTAGGGGTCTTTGTCCATCAAGTGGGAGGGGAACTGAAGACCTCAATCAATCTGGTGCCTGGCCTCAAAAAAAGTAGAATTGATAAGTGTTAATCACCTACTGTGTGCAGCATCTTGTACTAAGCCTTGCCAGTTCTGCCCAATGTCCACCCATCTTGGTCCTGTTGAAAACGCAAGTCAGTCATTCTGGTGTTGGAGGTGGTCAGCATGCTCTGCACTGGCCAAGGGGCACACACAGGCTTAGTGCTGTCAGTCCCAAGGCCCCCGAGCTGCATTGGTAGATGCGGCCAGTGAGACAGGCACTTGATAGTTGGCATCTCACACGCACGGACCCCCAGGGTCATGCTCCTGATCAGGGTAGGGTGGGTGGTAGCAGATAGAGGAGTTGACCTTGGGTGGTGACATAAGGGCTTCAGGGAGGAGGCGGTGCCTGAGCTGGGTATGGAAGGAGGGGGGCCCCCAGCCCACCCCTCATGCCAGTCTTCTGTGTGTCCTGGTGTGTCTGATGGTCATCACAGGAAACCCAAGAAGCCTCCATTTCACACCTAAGTCTGAATGTCAGGGACAATAAGGGAGGGGTGAAAGTTACCTAAAGCAGCCCCCAGAACAGTGCTCATGTGGGTCCCTGGGAACTGGTCATTTGGGGGGATGGAAATGAAATATGCTGCATCCTCAGACACCCCATCCTTGGGTGTGCCTCTGGGGTTGTGGACAGGAAGTTTCACACTTAGTTCAACCTAGAAGACTTCCATGCTGGGCATAGCCTGGTCGAGGTGCCCATCACTGTTCCCATGTACAGAAGCTGAATGAGCCCAGACTGACTTCCTATCCCCCTGCCCCACCTGGTTTCATCCGCTCTTTCTGAGGAACCAGACTAGTACCCACTTCACTCCAGTTGATTCTGACCCACAGTGGCCCTGAAGGACAGCATACAGAGGTCTCATGGGGTTTCCAAGACTGTAAGCTTTAAGGGAGTAGACAGCCTCATCTTTCTCTCATAGAGCATCTGGTGAGGTGAAACTATCACCCTTTCATTTAGCACTAAGCACTTACCCACTGAGCCACCATGACTCCTTAGGGAAGCAGGCTGGGAGGAGCAGAGATAGCCAGTCCCTAGCATGACTCAGCAAGGACCTGGAGAAGCCCCTTCCAGAGACCACACCAAGGGAGAGGACTGGAACCGCATGAGAACTGGTGATTTGTGAGGGCCGAAGCTGTACAGCTAGGGAAATCCAACTTCAGCCCACAGGAGGGCCTGGGCTGCTGACAGGAAGACTGTACCAAGCATCAGCGCCCAGGGCACGCTGGAGTAAAACAGGGACATGGGAGGCTGGGAGCCTGGAGTCTGGGATAGAATGGAGCAGAGTGAGACAGCAGGGTGGAATCAGGGTTGGAAACCAAGGTCATGGAACAGCTGTGGAAAGCCAGGTGTGTACTGTGTGCTTGTGTGTTACTTCTGGGTCCGTTGGAGGGCATGTGTCCAAGGCAGGGTGGGTCCCACTGGCACATCCAGCCCATCTTACCTGCGCAGCCCATCTCTGTGTAACCTCAAGCGTCCAGCCACACCCCAGTGCTCCATGCAGTGTGGAGCTCAGAGCTCTGGGACAAGACATGGGAGCATGTTAGCGCACACGCGTGCGCACACACACACACAGCACATATACATCTAACGTATCACTCATGCAGACACATTGACCAATAGTCCACAAACCTCTGCTCCCCTCTCTCCAGCCACAACAAACTGCTTCCTGGGCCTCCACCACCTCCTTGGGGGAAATTTGGACCCAAAAAGGTCAAGCAACTTCCTTTAGGCCCAGAACAAGTTAGTGAGAGGACAGAGATTGGGGCTGTGTTCTCAGGGGCCCACTCTGAACATTGACAGAAATATGAAAAATATAGTATCCTGATACACATCCCCTTCCTGAATGCTAGCTAGTTGCGTCCCTTTCAGAAACTCGTTTTTTTAGGTGGTCAATCCCTAGGTGAGAGTGTGTATTTTCTCAATAATGTATGAGGCAAGGCTCATTTATGAAGGGCAGGGATAACTGATTAAGTGGAGATGTGAAGGTGTGAGGTACCTAGGGAAAAAAACGATGAAGTGAGTAGGTGAGAAACATAATAGAGAAGTGTGATGGGATTACAAGGAAGAGTTAGGGGGCATTAAAGCCTTAGGAATAAGGTAGCATGTTCTCTTAAGGTAATCGACATGAAATTTAATCTATGAAGAGACACATTCAGATATTAAAAATTGACTTACAACTTGGAAAAAAAAAGAAAGAAACTCGGTTTTTTATTTGACTGTTGCTGAGAGATAGGTCAAGATCCCCTAGCCCCCAGTGACTATCCAGTCTCCTCTTGGATGCCTCATTGATGAAGAACTCATTACCCCATGGCACTCCATCAGGATTGGACAGCTCATTCAGATCATTTTATTCATTCAAGAAAAGCTTCATGAGGGTCTACTATGGACCAAGCCATGATCAATATAGCAGAGAGCAAAGTGACATCACTGCCCTACAGAGCTGAAATTCTCATTGGCAAGAACAACCAGTACAAGCCTGTGATCTCTAGTTAGGTGATGAAGAGTGTTATGAAGAACATAGGACAGGGGCTGCAGAGAGATGAAGGGCAGATGGTGAGTGGGAAGTGTCATTCTAGATGGAATGATCGTGGTGGGTGGGTGTCTCTGAGCAAGACTGGAAAGACAGCCACATAGAGAACCACCTGAGTGGTAAGGGGAGAAAGTTCCAGGCAGAGAAGATGGTGAATGCAAAGGCCCTGTGGCAAGAACATGATTTCTGTGGCATATTCAAGGAACAGAAAAGATGGTCCGAATGATCCAGCATGTAGCTTTCACCAGACCAGCACCCTACATCAGGATGGAGGGTGGGTGCACACATATTTTATAATCTCTTTCTTCATGACCCCCTGAATCCAGAGCCCATCTGGTGGTCACTGTCTGCTGTGCCTCAAAGGCATCCAGATGGTCAGTGTGAGGCTGAGATGGTGAGAGGGGGCAAGAGGAGCTAAGTGCCACTTATCAGCCTCTGGGGTCCCATGGGGATGGATAATCAAGGGCAGGGTCAGTGGTTCTGACCTTTCACATTCCCCGACCCCACCCATGTCCATCCTGGGCCTAGAGAGTAAGTAAGCACTTACAGCTTGCTGGCCACAGCTGCCCATCTCTGTCCCCAGAGAGAGCATGGTGGCTCCTTCCGGTCTCTGCTCCAGAACTCACAAGCTCTGGACAGCCACTCAGCACACAGCAGTGCCCCACTGGGCCTCCCTGCAATTTACAGAACATGTCCTGCCCCTTGGTCTATTAGCTGCTTTCAGCATCCTACTTTCAGATGTCACCACCTCAACTTCACAGGTGGACACCAAGGCTCACAGGTGGACACCGAGGCCCAAAGGTGAAAAGCAACTTGCCAGTGGGACCGAGGCAGAGAGAGAACCTTGAATCTGAGTCTTTCTGTTAGCTTGCTTCGTACTGCTTCTTCCAAAGCAGTTGGTGGCTGCTGGACTCCAAGGCCTGATGGCTGCTCTACCCCAAGGCTCAGGCTGCTACCGTAGACTCTATGTGTATACCCAGGGACCAGCCTCCCCAACTCCAGCAGCAGGGACACATCTAAGAGACTCTAGGGGTCAGTGTGGGGCAGGAACTCCAGGGACCAGCCAGGAAAATTCTCTCCATCTTTACAACCATGTCTCTGAGTTCATGTTCAGCTCTCTGCCCACCTCAATGCCATCACCACCAGAGCAACTAATGTGGAAGGGTGGACTGTCACTGAGTTCACCAAGGATGCTGGGAGGGCAGGCGTTCTGGTGGTTAAAGCAGAGGGACTCAGAGGGACTGGGCAGTTCGGGCCCACCAGCAGTGGAAGAAAGATGAGGCTTTCTGCTCCTGCAAATTTACAGCTCAGAAGCCATATATATACAGGGTTGCTATGAATCATAACCAGCTTGGTAGCACTTCACAACCACAACATGTATATGAAGGAAACGCTGGTGCCTCATCATAGGGAGTTTTCAGTTCACTGTACCTGGGAGGAAATGGGTGTGAGTGTTTATGAAACTGTCAAGGTTTAACATTGTTTTTTGCCATCCAGTTGATCAGACTCATAGCAACCCTACAGGCAGAGTAGAACTGTCCTCATCGGGTTTCCAAGGCTGTCAATTTTCATGGGAGCAGGTCACCAGGTCTTCACTCCTACAGCATAGCTGGTGAGTTCAAGCCACTGACTGAGCTGCAAGTAACCATCATAGTGCAGACTAGCAGTCTCCTGCTTGAGACCCAGCTCTGGGCAGGGAGTCACCCAGTGTAGACCAGCTATGTAGATCACACTTGGCTACATGCAAAGCCCCTACACAAGGCAGAATCAGGGAAATCCCACCAAAGGAAAGCAAAGCTATATGGAAGGAGCAGAGTGGAGAGTGGGACCCTACCCAGAGAAGCAATGATGCCTGAGATGGAGGTAGGGATGATGACATGGAGAGATGGAGCAGTTGGGGATTTTAGACCCAGAGAGAGAGGGGGGCTGTGTGCTGACGACCGGGGGGCAGGCTTGTATTGTATAACTTTTGGTTGGTTGATGATGCATGGAGGGGATTGTAACTATGGCAATGAAACGATATATGATAGGATGAATGTAAAACTAATGTTCTCCCATGTAAACGATCACATAATTCACAATAAAACATTTTTTTAAATTTTTTTAAAAATAAAGCTATATGGAAACTCTGAGGAGCTGAGGCCCCATCATCTTGGAGGGCTTCATGGAGGTGGCATTTGAGCTGGGCCTTGTGGGAAGATTCAGATTTGGACGTGTAGAGATGAAAAATGAGAGCATTGGATGGAAAGGCACCCAATGAGCACAGGAGGGAAGAGCCTATGATTAGCAACAACCAGTACTAAGTGCAGCAAGCTGTCCAGTTGCACTAGAGGCTGGGGCTGGGCCAGAGGAGTCCTGGGGAGGGAAACTTAGAACCACACTACAGAAGCTCCTCATGCCACACTCAGGCCTGGGGTGAGTGGGGGTTTGATTCTATAAGCAGGAGATTTGTTAATAATAACACCCTCATTTTTAAGGTGAGGAGCGTGACTCAGGGAGCCCATGGGAAGATCCAGAATTGGATCTCAGCCCTCAATCCTACATCCTGGATTCTTCCTATTCCTTGAAAGTGGCCAATAAGCTTTGAGCTGTGAGTGTATGAAAGAAAAACAGATTGCTGTGTGTGGGAGGGGGATACAAGAGAAGGGGGTGAGGTGGAGATGGGGAACCCAGTTAGGAGGTGTCTTCCTTATCTAGTGCTGCTATAACAGAAATACCACAGGTGGGTGGGTTGAGCAAACACATTTATTCTCAGTTTAGAAGGCTGGAAGGCTGGATTCAGAGTCTTGTCTCCTTTCAGCATCCGTAGGCCCAGCATTCCTTGGGCATCTCCCTGGGTCTTGACATCAATCTTTCCCTGGATCTAGGTGCTTTATTCACACTGCAGGAACCCCACGTCCAAAGGAGTACTCTTCTCTTGGCTCTTCTTTCTTGGTGGTAGTGGGTCCCTCGTTCTCTGCTCACGTCTCTCCTTTTATCTCTTGTAAGATCAAAGGCGCTACATGCCGCATCCTTGAGACTCTCCTACATATTGGTTCTGGGTGATGGTGGGACTAAGAGTGGTGTAAAGTACTGGTTGCTATGAGTTGGAACCGACTCCACCGACTCCACAGCACACTACCACCACCACCAAAGTACTGATGCCCTGATATGGCACTGCTCACCCCAAGGTCGGCGGTTCAAACCCACCAGCAACTCCTCTAAACTCTTCTATATACAGAGTCACTGTGAGTTGGAACCAACTGGATGGTTTATCACATGAGATCACATTACAGGGGAACGTCACATAACTGCCAAACCACTGAGCATCATGGTCCAGCCAAGCAGACGTGTTTGCAGGGGGAGGTGGGAGGACACAGTTCAATCCATGACAGGAGGTTATATATAGTACCAGTGCAATTGGATAAGACCAGATCAGGAGCAGCGGCCTGGGGATAGACAAGAGGGAACAGCCTAAGACATGCTGGAGAGTCACAGGTGGGACTGCTAGAGTTGGTAAATTCTGGGATGGGTGGGGACAGACTGCTCTCTGAGAGGAAGGAAAAGTGGAACAAGGCCCACATTTGGATTGGGAGTCGGAACGTGCCCTGTTTATGCTATGTGGGAAGAGGCAGCAGAGAGAAGCTGGGGTTCCCTGGGGCCCTGCACCATCCTGTCAGTCAGAGGCCCCAGGTTCGAATTCTGCCCCTGGCTCTTTCCTCCTACTTGTCATTCAGCACCTTGAACCTTAGTTCCTTTTGCTGTAAGATGTAAGAACGGGCACTTTAATATCAGAAGCTATGGGCAGAACGCTGGTTGATTGCTCTGAAGATTAAGTAGAAACAGTGCTGAGCACTGAGAACGGAGCACAGCAGACAGGGCTACTAACAGGAAGCCACGCTTCCTCGGGCCACACTCGGCTCTGCACATAAGCCCGGGATGTCTTCACGCTGGCACTTTGAGGCCACAAGGATTATCAGACTCATCTCATAGATGGGAATGGCATCTCATGCAAGCCTCACAGTGCTTTGCCCTTGGGTTAGTTTTCCTCCAATTTTCGAGAAGGAAAGGAAGCAGCAATGTAGGGTAGTGAACACCCCAGCAAACAAGGGGCCAGGCTGGCAGCCCAGGCTAATGGGAAGCCAGCACCTTGTCCCAGCTGGACAAAGGGGGGACTGTCTTTTGTAAGGGTGGGAAGGATAGAGGCTGATGCACCCTAGGATCTGCATGGGAACCTTTTCTGACCTCTGGACCTCTTTGCTCTGTCCCCAGCCTCCAGCCGCTCCCACCCCACCAGCCCCAGCCCAACCGGACCCCAGACCAGCCCAGTACTGCCGGTCAGCTACCGTCTGTCCCACACACGGCTGGCCTTCTTCCTGAGGGAGACGAGGCCCCCACCACCCACGGCTGCCAATGGCTCCCTTCAGCGTTCTGAGCCCTTCGTGGTGTTTCAGACCAAGGAGCTGCCCGTCCTCAACGTCTCCCTGGGGCCCTTCAGCACCAGCCAGGTGGTGGCGCGGGAACTCCTGCAGCCGTCCAGCACCCTGGACATCCCTGAGCGCCTAACTGTTAACTGGAAGGTGCGGGCGTTCATTGTCCGCGCACGCGTGCCCGCCTCGCAGCCCGTGGTCCAGGTGCTCTTCTATGTGGCGGGCCGGGACTGGGATGACTTTGGCGTCACTGAGAGACTGCCCTGTGTCCGTCTACACGCCTTCCGGGATGCCCGGGAAGTCAAGAGCTCCTGTCGTCTCAGCGGAGGGCTGGCCACCTGCCTGGTGCGGGCCGAGCTGCCCCTGGCCTGGTTCGGGCCCCCCACCCCAGCCTCGCCACCCACTGCCCGAAGAAAATCGCCGGATGGGCTGGAGCCTGAGGCAGTGGGGGGCAGCCAGCAAGCTGAGCTCTACTACACTCTTCATGCTCCAGATGCCTCGGGGGCCTGTGGGGGCACACGCCGGGGTGTCGGGCCTGGGGCAGGGGCTCGGGCTGAGAGCCCCACCCAGCACCCCCTGCTGCGAATCGGAAGCATCAGCCTGTTCCGTCCACCGCCCAGGAGAACCCTACAAGAGCACCGACTGGACAGCAATCTGATTATCCGCCTGCCGGACAGGCCCCTCAAGCCAGGGGAAGTGCTCAGCATCCTCTTGTACTTGGCCCCCAACTCCTCTTCTCCCTCCAGCCCCAGCGTGGAACATTTCACACTGAGGTAGGGAAGGTCAAGACCAAATGCATTACCTGACTTCTTGGAGGGGGGCTCCCAGGCCTGCCTGTCCAGCATCCTAATTAATGCCAGTTCTTCCATTGAGCAGCTGAGCAACTTCAGGAAGATTCCTCACCTATTTTAACCTCAGAGTTCAGCATTCTTATCTGTCTAATGGGCACAAAAATTCCAGCCCCCGTCCATCTTACCTCCCATATTTGGCATTGTGTAGTGATAAAGGGGGACATATCAGTTTTCACAAACATGGGTGTGTAGAATGATAGAATTAGGGCTGAGGAGGACACTTAGGCCTTAGTCAATGCAATACTACCATTTTGTAGATAAGGAGACTGAGGACAAATAGCAGAAATGGAGATCCGAGAGCAGCTTCTTGCTTTGGAGCCAATGATGAACAGGAATATGTGCATGTGTTGGGATATTTGCCCCAAATCCTGAAGTTGGGAGAAAGTTTTTCCATTTTTCTTTCCATACTCTAAGCAGAATACAGTTCTTGAATTCTGAAACCCCTTAACTCATATCACGTCCCTACAAAACGTAAGTATGTCTCATAGTAGGAACTTGAGGTTTGGGTGTTTGGGGACATAGGAAAAGTCCCTACCAAAATGACTCGCTTCCAAGCATACACATGGAGCTTGAACCACCTTTAGTTTCCAATTTATCTGAAATTAACCGTCTCTTACGTGTTCCATCATGAAGTCTAAGTGTTGCTAAAAGGGTCATACCTAATTCAATGATTGACACCTCAATGTGTCATCAGAGGTCTTGGATTGCATTAAGAGGACTAGGGCACATAAGATTAAGGAAATGATAATTCACCTTGCCTTCCCCTCCTCCCCCCAAAAAAACGATTACCATAGAATCAATTCCAACTCATAGAAACCTTACAGGAGGAAACAGAGCTACCCCATAGGGTTTCCAAGGCTGTAAATTTTACCGAAGCAGACTGCCACATCGTTCTTCTGCAGAGTGGCTGGTGGGTTTGAACCATTGACCTTTCTGTTAGCAGCTGAGCACGTAACCACTGTGCCACAGGGTTCCTTCACCACCCTGCTTTAATTAGTGTCAGAGGGCAGCTGAAATGTATAATATATTATACATGGGAGGGTATGACAAAATATATTGCTGGCTACCAGGATTCCAGTTAATATGTGCACAGGTTCGTTCCAAACAAAACATGTCTCTGAGGTTAGTGGATAGCTGTAGACACATTCTCTTAGTAAACACTTAGTCTCATTAGGGTGTCTTCAAAAAAAGCAGTCCACTCAAAATAGGTCAGCTTGGAAGATTATGGCAACTGTTATTGGGAATCCCAAAGGGGTGATCTAGATGGATTTTCTCAAAGGACACAGACGATCACAGGGTCTTGTGAAGCAATTTTCAAAACTGAATACTGCATTAGTGGGAAAAAGACCAGAAAAGCTGTGCTGAGGAACTTTTTCCCATCATGACAATATACCTGCTCATTCATTGAGAATCACATTGGTAAACTTTGCCTCGTCCACCGTACACTCCTGATCTTGCCCTTCAGACTTCTTTTTGTTACCCAACACGAAGAACATTAAAAAGAAACACGATTTGAGTCCCTCAAGGATGCCACAACTGCTGTTTTGTAAATTTAAGAGCTCATAATTCTTTGGAGAAGGGTTGTTGTTGTTGTAAAGTGCCTTCGAGGTGGTTACAATCTATAGCGACCCCGTATAGGGTTTCTAAGGAGCAGCTGGAAAGCTTCAACTACCAACCTTGCAGTTCAAACCGACTTTGCAGTCCAGCACATTAACCCACAGCGCCAACTACCTTCAGAAGTATATATAAACCTAGATGGAGGATATGTCGAGAAACAGTAGCTTCACATTTTGACATTTAATAAAGGTTTCTATGAGTTTGTAGCAATGCTTTCTGGCTTACCCTCGTAATGTGCTCAAAGTATCCAGAGGCGGCCAACCAGGACATAAGGTTACCTGAAACCATAGCAGAAAGTAACAAGAGGAATTGGAGACTTTAGGCCTGAAGGAGTGAAGTCTCCGGGGTACCTGCTCCCCTCTGCAGGGATCTGGAGAAATGGTCCAGTGAAGACGGAATCAAGGAAGTTAGTCCTATCTTGATCCAGAAGACCTACAGCTGTTATATTGCAGCTACATACAGAGGCTTTCTGGGAAAGGAATAGGATGTGTGTGGTAGTGAGTTCTCTGTCACAGAGCTATACAAGTGGAGAGGCTTGTCAGGGATGTGATAGAAGGGATTGCAGTTTTCACTGGTTGAATTTTCAGAGGCCTCAGCTAGGTTCCCCAGATGAGTCTAGAACACAAGACTATGGGCTTCCCCTATACTCAATCCCACCCTAGGAGTGGCGTCCAGATGAACCCTACCCTGACCATCTTCCTCTTCTTCCTACCCGTTGGTCCCCAGGGTGAAGGCCAAGAAGGGTGTGACCCTTCTAGGCACCAAGTCTCGGAGTGGCCAGTGGCACGTGACCTCAGAGCTGCTGACTGGAGCAAAGCACTCCACAGCCACCGTGGATGTGGCCTGGGCCCAGGGCACACCCCTGCCCCCCAGGTGAGCCTGGAATGGTGCCTCTGCCCACCTCTCTGCAGGATATGCACCTGGGAGACTGGGGGTCCTGGATGGAGGAGGCTGGGGCTTGGTTTGCGGGGACTCTGGAGTCCAGGCCTCTGTGGGCTAGAGGAGACCTCAAAGGAACTCAGCCGGGCAGGCAGCCAGGGATTGGGAGCCTTCATCCTCGACTCTGCTCCCTTCCACACCCCTGACAGGGAGGGCCAGGGGCCCCTGGAGATCCTTCAGCTGGACTTTGAGATGGAGAACTTCACCAGCCAGTCAGTCAAGCGGAGGATTATGTGGCACATCGACTACCGTGGCCACGGTGCCCTCCCTGATCTGGAACGGGCAGTCACTGAGCTGACGGTCATCCAGAGGGATGTGGAAGCCATCCTGCCCCTGGCCATGGTGAGCAGGTGGGGCCCCGGGCCACTGGGCGGGTGTGTCTGAGCATGTGTGTGCATATGTGTGTGTGGAGATGGATATAGGTGTGGGTGTGAGCTAGAGTCCAAGTGTGTGACTGTCCCTCAGCCCCCGAACCAGGCAGGCCCTCACAGGAGGCAGGCGGTGCTTGAGGGGAGATGAACAGCAGACTGTGGGCTGCGGAGGTGGGGGAAGTCACCACCAGGGGCCACTTAGGGAAGATTCTCGGAGGACATGGCCATACAGTGGAGCCTTCAAGGACTAGCACAGTCAGAGAAGATGAGGAGGGTACCCTAGGCAGGGGGGGGGCACATGGACAAAAGTGCCACATGGACATATGGGCTGTTTGTTCCAGGAAGCAGCGCATTTAGAAAGAGTGATGTGGTGTGGTGAGGATGGAGCTGTTGTCCAGGGCCAGATGAATGGCCAGGGCACCATTTGATGTTACTGTATGAGCCCTGAGCAGTGTGGCAGGGTTTTGAGAGAAGACAGCAGGGGCTGGGGAAGGAGTGTTTTCTGACAGAGTGGCAGTGGTGAGTGGACCTTGAAGGCTGCTCAGGAGCCAGAAGAGCAGGCCATCGGAGAAGGGATGGGAGGCTGTCCCTGCACAAGGGTACTTGGGAATGTGAAGCCAGGATCAGCAGAGCACTCTCCCTGCACAGGACACAGAGATCATCAACACAGCCATCCTGACGGGCCGGACAGTGGCCATCCCCGTGAAGGTCATTGCCATTGAGGGGACGGGGCTCGTCCTGGATGTCTCTGCCCTGGTTGAATGCGAGTCTGACAATGAGGATATCATCAAGGTGAGCTTCCTGAATGGGGTGTCCAGTCCAGAGGAAAATTCCAGGCAGGTGCCCATGGCATGTAAGAGGGAGGAGGGAGGCTGAGAGGAGGCAGAAATGCTGTGAGCATCCGTTGTCCACCCTAAGTGGGGTGAGGGAAAACCCGAGGTACTGCTCCTGCCGGTGTTGAAGGGCTACCTGTACAAGACTGTTTGGCAGACCAGAAGGGAGCAGGCAGTTAGCAGTTTCTGTAGAGCCAATGTCAACTCATCACAATACAGACTTTCGATGGTTAATTCTTCAGAAGTGATGGTCAGGCCTTTCTTCCCAGGAGCCTCTGGGAACCACTAGCCTTTCAGTTAGCAATGAGTACCACCCAGGGATTCCAAAACTCAGTCCAGCAAGTGATTATCAAGCATCTGCTGTGTGAGAGACTCTGGACGAGGCAACAGGGTCACATAGATATGTGGGCCCCTCAGAGGCATAGTCTGAACCCAAGGTCACCCGATGGAGAAACTCACACTTAGGAAGTCTCAGGAAGCATGAGGTTAGGCCAGGAGTGGAGGTTGTATGGGGAAGGACATACCCCAACTCCTACAATTCCTGAAGTTCCTCCCAGCCATGAGTGGGTCCTCGCTGGGTGGGGAGGGGGGGAGGGGCTCCAGAGTTGCCCCCTCCTCTGGCTTTGGGCAGTGGTGGGCCTTGAGATGGGGACAGTGAAATAGGTTAACGACATGAGTATGCCCAGTCCTGGTACTTGTAGCATGGGCAAGCCTCCAGTAGGCCCCCAAATCAAATGGTTAGACAAAGGAATCTGTTTCCTATTCCTATAAATAATTTAGCTGCAAGAGAGTGGGAAGAGGTGGATGTGTGGGCCCTCCTCCTTCCTGCTCATTGGGCTCCCTCATCCTTCTGGGTCACCCCACCCATCCCTAATCCACAGTGCCCTCTAAATAAGCGGAAAGATGGCTGGCTCTGTAATACCCCATCACCTCCTTAGGAGCAGGAGCCGGGCCTCCACTGGGGGCTGTCCCCTGCTCTTGGCCAGTAACTGGGAGAAATGGGCCTGTCCCCAGGGGACCCATTCTCTGCCACCCTGAGTCCCCTCCCCACCCTACCCCAAAGCAGGCCAGAACAAAGTCATGATGGCTGAGATACCAAGAGGAATTAATGGTGATTCTAAAATGCAATTTGTTACCATTTTCAGTGAAATACACCCCGATGCTTTATGGAGTTTGCCAACATTCTAAATGGAATGTACCAGCTTTCAGATGAAATTCTCTGCCTTCTGAAGCGGGAAATGAACATTTCTGGCAGGGACATTGTCCCCACTTCCCTCCGCCTACCCCTCTGAGATGATTAAGAGACATAGCGGGTGTGGGACAGTCCAGGGGTTCAGCACCAGCACCTTCTCCGCCCCCCTGGGCTTCACGATAGACCATCCCCAAACACAGGGCCTCATGTATGTGCACCTGTCAGTAGCACCCTTCCAAAAATCACACGGTTCACTCCAAGGTGTGCCAGGTGCAGGGAGGGGCACACCTGACAGCTATACCCATCTCCATTTGCCTTCAAGTAAGCAGGCACAGATGGTCATTCACCAAGATGTGCTGAGAGGTATGTGCCCATTCAGAAGACCTGCAGGAAGGCAGGTTGATCTCCACGTGGGTATGCCATTGGTGGCAGCCTCGAGTGTCTCTCCTCGAGAGATTTGTCCTGTCTCCTGCCCATCACATCACACTCCACCTTTTCTGGGGCTGCTCTGCTCAAGACACCATGGAGGAGACACACCACTGTGCCTCACTGCTCTCCTTGCACCTCACCTCCCTCCCTGAGCCCCACTTCCTACTGAAGGCTGATGTGCCGCAGGGGGCGGGGATCCACTCTGAGAGGTCCCCTCCAAGGTATGGTCTTGCCTCTGGTAAAACATTTGCACATTGGCTTTGTGCCAGGGAAGAGAGGCCGCCCAGAGGTTGTCTCTGAAGAGATGGAGTGGACTCAGGACACAATGAAACTGATTGCTCCCAGAAGGTGTAGTGCCTTCTCCCTCCTTGCCTTCACCTCTCTCTGGCTCTGCTTGTTAGACTGAAGCCCCCTGCACTACCCTCAGGAAAACTTGTGGAGCAAAACATGCCCACTGTCCCTCCCTTTCCTCAGGTGTCCAGCAGCTGTGACTACGTGTTTGTGAGTGGCAAGGAGTCTCGAGGGTCCATGAACGCCAGGGTCATCTTCCGCTACGACATCCTCCATGCGCCCCTGGAGATGACGGTGTGGGTTCCCAAACTGCCCCTGCACATCGAGCTCTCGGATGCCCGCCTCAGCCAAGTGAAGGGTTGGAGGGTACCTATCCTCCCTGACCGGAGGTACAGCACCCCCTGCCACACTCACAGGGGAACAAAGCCTAGGTGCAATCTTATCTGTGTGTCTGCAGAAGGCCTTAGTAAATACAGACAATCAGCTGTCAGTTAGGCCATCAACAAACACATACTGAGCAGCTACTATGTGCTGGGCACTGCTTGAAACATGGAGGCGAGTGTGATCAGTGCCTGGCCCAACCAAGCAGGGAAGACAGTCACAGACATGGTGGGACTCAGAGAGCCCAGTGTGGGGAGTCTCAGGCAACACAAAGGATAGGACCACCCCTTCCTCCAGGAGAAGGCAAGGCAGGCTTCCTAGAAGAGGTGACTCTTGAACTAAGTCTTAAAAAACCAGTAGTCATGGAACCATCCCCAGCTCATGATAACTCCATGTGTATTAGAGTACAACTCTGCTCCATAGAGGAGTCAATGGCTGATTTTTCAGAACTGGGCTGACAGTCCTTTCTTCTGAGGTACTTCTAGGTGGCCCAGAACCTCCAACTTTCTGGTTAGCAGCTGAGTGCATTAACCATTTCTACTACCTAAGGACTCCTTGATCTTAAAGGACTAGTTTAAAAGTGGTGGCTGGGAAGACAAAGGGAGAGAGAACAGTCAGACAAACAGGACACAGACCAACATAGACGTACACGTTTGCCTACCCTGGGCATACCAGGGGCACACTCACACCCAGACTTCCTTGCTGGAGTACAGGCTGAAGATCCAAGGGCCCATCTATGGGACATATTGATGTTGTCACTGCACGCCACTCAGCCCCTCAGAGCAGCTGCAGAGATGAGCCCGGCAGGAGGAGAGAAGAGAGGGAGAGTAGCAGGCAGCTGAGAGCAGGATGGGGTGAGGCTGGAGAGAGAAGTAGGTGGTTAAAGGAAACAAGCAACCAAGTGAGATTGGGGCTCAAATCAATTCAGAAGAAATTTGGAAAAACACATCAGGGTATACCAGAGCCTCTTTAAACTTTTAGCTTGCATGTGAACCACTTGGAACTCTTAATTAAAAAGTGCAGACTTACATTATCTCTAGGGCAGAACCTGTGTTGCTGTATTTCTGGCCAGTTCCCAAGTGATGCTGATGCTAGGCTTTGAAGTCAAAATTGCTTGGATTCTAACCCCCACTGCTATTTACGAGCTATGTTACCTTGGGCTACTTACATAGCCTCTTTGTACCTCAATTTTCTTATCTGTGAAATGGGTATGAAGCACCCACCTTATGAATGCTGTTGGTATTATTGTTAGGTGCCGTCAGTTCCGTACCTACTCATAATGACCCTATGCACAACTGAACAAAACACTGTCTGGTCCTGCACCAACCTCACAATCGTTGCTACATTTGAGCCCACTGCTGCTGACACCGTGCCAATCCATCTCGTTGGGGGTCTTCCTCTTTTTCTCTGACCCTGCACTTTAACAAACATGGCATCCTTCTCCAGAGACTGGGTTTTCCTGACACTACCTAAAGTTAAAAAAGATGAAGTCTGGCCATCCAGGCTTGCAAAGAGCATTCTGGCTGTACTTCTTCCAACACAGATTTGCGTGTTCTTCTGGAAGTCCTTGGAACCTTTAATATTTTCCTCCAACACCACAATTCAAATGCATCAATTCTTCTACAGTCTTCCTTATTCACTGCCCAGCTTTCACATGCATATGAGGTTATTGACAATACCATGGCTTGGGTCAGGTGAACCTTATAGGATGGTTGTGAGAATTAGACTAACCTAGGTTAAAAAAGCCCTTCCTCTGTATTAATGAATACCCTGATCTTTTCATCCTTCTGAAACATGAGCAAAAGTTGCCCCAGATACACCCTTGTCTTCCTCTCTTCAGAGCACTTTCATGGCAGTGAAACTCCTAATTTTAGCATCTTTGGAAATCTGGATAGGCTGAGAACTTCCCCCACTCAAATCCTGCTTTGTTTTTGCTAAATATTTCTCCCCTCAATTTCTCTCCTTCCTCTTGCATTTTACTATAAGCAGCAAGAAGAAACTTTCTTCAGCATCTTCAATACTTTGCTTGGAAACATCCACAGATAAATATCCAAGTTCATTGCTTATGAGTTCTGTTTTCTACACAAATGTAGGGTCAGATTTAGCTAAGTTTTCGGACATTTAGATAACAAGGATCTCCTGCCCTCCAGTTTAGAACTCAGCCCAGTGCTGGGCACACATGCAGTGCTGGAGGAGAGGTAGCGTTTGTTAGTATTTGACGCCAGTGATTTCCTGGCTTAGGTTAGGCACAGCAGAGACCGGAGAGGTACCAGGGAGCATCAAAACTGTAACTCCTGGAAAAGGCTTGCTGTTTGCAGAGTTTCCGGTCATGGAAGGTTGTGGAGGAGCCAGCAGGTCAGAGTGAAGGGACTGGCTTGTTCAGGGTGAAGCACCTTCAGCATGGCCAGCCCTCACCCCGTGCCCCCCTAACCAGGTCAGCCCGGGAGAGCGAGGATGAGGACGAGGAAGAAGAGGAGCGGCGGCAGAGTGCGATCCGAGGGTGTACCCTGCAATACCAGCATGCCACGCTGCAGGTCTTCACCCAGTTCCATACAACATCATCTGAGGGCACAGACCAGGTGGTCACCATGCTGGGCCCAGACTGGCTTGTGGAGGTCACTGACCTGGTCAGTGAATTCATGCGGGTAGGCGACCCCAGAGTGGCACACATGGTGGACAGCAGCACGCTGGCAGGTCTGGAGCCGGGCACCACCCCCTTCAAGGTAGGCACGGGCTCTACCCCAGCACAAAGGGCAGTGCCCAGGGTCTTGGTGACCTGAGGGCAGAGAATGTAGGTGTTCCTATGAGAAGATGTCCTAAGTCAGGCTCTGGGGGCAGATCCCCACCCCCTGATCAAACCACACTTTCTTCCATGTGAAACTGCCCCTCCATATGAAACTCCACCATTCTGTTCAGCTTTGAGGAGAATTCTTGCTCAATGCCATATCAACTGTCAGCCTCACTGTGCTTAGTGTTAGATAACTAAAGCAGATCCCTCCCCTAGAGCACGTGTGGAGGGAGAAGAGGGGCCCTACAAGGCAGGTAGAATAATTCTGAGGTTGAGGAACTAGTTGTGTGCTATAGAGCCGGTTCAGACTCATAGTGACCCTGCACAGGGTTTCCAAGGCTGTAAATCTTTACAGGAGCAGAAAGCCTCATCTTTCTCCCACAGAATAACTGGTAGTTTCGAACTGCTGACCCTGAGGTTAGCAGCACAACTTGTAACCACTATGCTACCAGAGCTCCTGACAGCTGGGTATCCAGACAGAAATCATCCTCTGCAGAGATTGTGAATAGTGGTCTAGGGACTGGAATCTACCAGCAGGTGTGCTTTGTTTGTAAAGAATTGAAAAACTAGTTTACTTGTTTTGAAAAATCTGCATTTCTGGTTTTACAAACAATCAGGCAATACTGAGCCTGAAGTCTGACAGCAACCATCAGCTGGGTTCAGTATTTCAGTATTTGCCCCCTTGACATGGACATAAATGCTCCCATTTACCCCAGTTCCCACTACTCTCTTTTGTCTCCCCGACATTAAGGTTAAATGGCAATTGCTATTTATCACCATGAAGGACTAGTGTGGCATTGTAGGATAAACACTGGACTGCTAACTGCAAAGTTGTCAATTCAAACCTACCATCCACTGACTCAAGAGCACTTGTTGTTAAGTGCCGTCGAGTTGTCTCCAACTCGTAGTGACCCTGTATAGGATTTTCAAGGAACAACTGGTGAGTTTCAGCTGCTGACCTTGCAGTTCAAACCGACCTTTTTGTCCAGTGCTTATCCTACAGCGCCACACCAACATTTGATCTGCCCACTGTTCCTACCTGGCTCCTGTGGCCCCTGGACCTTGTTCAGCCTCTGGGCTCCAGTTCTTGGTCGCAGATCTCAGGCAGAGTACAGGAGGCTTCCCTACCAGCCTAGCCACCTTGGCTCCATTCTAGCTGTACTGAGATTCATCCTGGGGGGAGGGGTGGGAGCTACTGTTTTCCTGACTCTCTCACTCCTGTCCCCCTCTACCTCAGGTGGTGTCCCCGTTGACAGAGGCTGTGCTCGGGGAGACACTGCTGACAGTGACAGAGGAGAAGGTCAGCATCACACAACTGCAGGCCCAGGTGGTGGCCAGCCTTGCCCTGTCCCTACGGCCGAGCCCCGGAAGCAGTCATACCATCCTGGCTACCACAGCAGCCCAGCAGACTCTCAGCTTCCTCAAGCAGGTAACTTGCTAGGCAAGGTGTTTGGGGTCTAGAAAGAGGACTTGGGGCTTGGTGGTCCCTCTGCCATGAACATTCCCCAAACGAGGGCTTTAGGTCCTGAAAGATCTAGTCACCCTTTGTGTCCTACACATCTGCCCTGCCCCCGCCCCACACTGTCTGCACAGAGGGTCTGGCCACAGCCTTGCTTGCTGCACTTGCTACACTGAGATGTTCCTATTCAGGATTCTCCTCCTGGATTCTCAGAGGGTCCACCAGCTCTGACCCCACCCACTGAAATTAGGAACCCCAATTACAGACCCCACTGTCACTGGCCACAGGACATAGATGGAAAGGTGGCAGGTGGGAGACCTGGGAAGTGGGAAGGCAGATGTTGAGCACTGAGCCAGAAGTCCTTGGCCTCGCCAGTCAAGTCCTCTGGACCCTAGTCCCTCAGCTCAGGAAGGACAATTCCCAGAAGGTTTTAGCCAATAGAGAGAGAGTTTGAACGGGCTTATGTATTGTCAATTCCCAAGAGTCTAATGAGTCTAATGGAAATATGGGCCTGCCCCTGCAGCACAAGAGACTTCAGCTGGACCCAAAGCTGAACTTACCTTCAGCTCTTCAGTGTGAGAGGGGTCCAAGGGGGCAATGAAGTACAGGGGTAGTAGGAGGCCTGGATGCCATGCCCTGCAATTGGGCCTCCCACATCCTGCAGAGGAGAATGTCCCTGCGTGCCTGCCACACTCAGGCAGGCATGTCTCAGCACTGGGGATACAGTAGAGTGTGGGATCTAGCAGGGAAGCCAGCTAGCACTAGCTCTCTGACTCCTGTCGTTTCCTCCTCCTCCAGGAAGCCCTCCTGAGCCTCTGGCTCTCCTACAGCGATGGCACCACGGCCCCACTGTCCCTCTACAGCCCGCGAGACTACGGGTTGCTGGTGAACAGCCTGGATGAGCATGTAGCCACGGTGACACAGGATAGGGCCTTCCCGCTGGTGGTGGCTGAGGCGGAGGGGGCAGGGCAGCTCCTTCGTGCTGAACTCACCATCGCTGAGAGCTGCCAGAAAACCAAGCGCAAGAGCGTGCTGGCCACCACGCCCGTTGGCCTGCGGGTACACTTTGGGCGGGACGAGGAGGACCCTACTTACGATTACCCAGGCCCTAGCCAGCCAGGGCCTGGAGGAGGCGAAGACGAGGCCAGGGGAGCTGGTCCGCTGCGTACCGGGGTTCCCCCCGCAGAAGGCCCGGGCAGGGGTACTGGCAGCCCCGCCATACCGCCCACCGAAGACTTCCTGCCACTGCCCACGGGCTTCCTGCAGATGCCACGGGGTCTAACGGACCTGGAGATCGGCATGTATGCGCTGCTGGGCGTCTTCTGCCTCGCCATCCTCGTCTTCCTCATCAACTGCATTGTCTTCGTGCTGCGCTACCGGCACAAGCGCATCCCACCGGAAGGCCAGACCAGCATGGACCACTCTCACCATTGGGTGTTTCTGGGCAACGGGCAGCCGCTGCGGGTGCAAGGGGAGCTCTCTCCGCCTCCCGGAAACCCACTGGAAACCGTGCCTGCCTGCTGCCACGGTGACCACCACAGCAGTGGCAGCTCGCAGACCAGCGTGCAAAGCCAGGTGCACGGGCGCGGCGACGGCTCCTCAGGGGGCTCGGCCCGGGACCAGGCCGAGGACCCCGCCAGCTCGCCCACCTCCAAGCGCAAGCGGGTCAAGTTTACCACCTTCACCACGCTGCCCTCCGAGGAACTGGCGTATGACTCGGTGCCTGCCGGCGAGGAGGATGATGAGGACGAGGAGGACCTGCGTTGGGGCTGCCCAGATGTGGCCAGCTCCACGCGGCCCGCCCCACCCCCGGACCTGCACAATTACATGCGCAGAATCAAAGAGATTGCGTAGAGGCTCCGTCGGAGTGACAGGGGGCACCCCCGACGTGGGGGCTGTTCTATTGGAACACAGACGGGACCTCCCGCGCTGGCCGGTTGAATCTGGTTTTTATACTTCCCGCCCCCCCCCCCCACAGCTTTGCTCTGTCCGGGGTGGGGCCGCCTAGTGTCTTGTCCTTTCGCCTGACACCATTACCCTCTTCTGCCCTCTGCAGGTGGAGGCGCCTTCCTCCAGTGGCTTGCAGGAGGAAAGGAATCCCAACCGTGTTTGACCCTTTCCATACCTCCTCCATCCTAGGCAATCCTCCTGCCCCAAGAGTGAGGCGAGGAGGCCAAGCTTGGGGCGAGGTGGACCTACACTGTGCCCCCACCCCTGCCTCCTGTGTCCCCTGTCTTCCCCCTGTGCGGGGAGGGGAAACTGGGGGGTCTTGTGTCCCATGCACAAAGACTTTTTTCAAACCAATATTCAGGGATTTTTGTCCTGCAGGGTGGGGAGGTGGCCGTTGCCTGCTCTGCCAAGGACCATGCTGTGGAAAAAATATTTGGGGGGGGGGGGCACAGTTGTAGCATCTACTGGCTTCCCCGGGCCCTTCAGTCCCTTCCCAGCACCTGGCAGCTGACTGCAGAGGGGTCTGGGCCAAGCTAGACACCTTCTTGTACCCTCAGGACTCTTTCCATTGGTCCAAGGGCTGTAGGCGAGGTCCTAAAGGGGAGGAGCCCTGGATCTATCCCTGACCTAGCCACACCCCAGAGCGTCAGAGTCTGGACAGGCCCACAGAGGCCTGGGTGCCCCTTGCTGACCTCACAACACGGTCAACTCCAGCCTTAGCCACCCTTATTTCTGCTGACCACACCTTTCTTCTGCAGGGGGCAGGGGGACAGCCACCCATCTCCCCACAGAACAGAAGCTGGTGGGAGGGGGACAAGAGGCATTAGTGGGTGCTGTAAGAGACCTTGGGGTGGGCAAAGGCTGATGGAAGCCTGGGTGTGTCCTCCAACTCCCATTCCCATGGGTGATTTTCTCTCGGGTTCTACCCACCACTGTGTCAGATTTTTCTTAAATAAATGGAGGTGACCAGACTCGGGTGGGGGCCGCAGCTCCCAGAGAACAGACAGAACATGGTGGCTGACTGTGTCTTCCTTGTGCGCACACGTGTTCACATGTACACATACACATCCTGTGGCTACATTAAAGGGCCTGCTCTATCTCCCCAGCATTCCAGTCCCCTGTCATCGCCTCTAGGGGCCCACCATGACTGGCTCAAAGAGGAATGGGCAAGCCTCAGGAGCTCCAGAGACAAGCCTGGGGTTGAGTGGGGCACTCAGAAAAATAAAGAGAAAGCGAGAGACAGAAAGGATGGTGGTGGAGGTCGTTGAGTTCAAGGCTGTTCTCAGAAGAAAGTTCTTCCTGATCACCCCCTTAGGGACCCTCCCTCTCTTCCCCAAGAGGCCTGCCCTACCCACAAAGGGATCTCCACATCAAAGGGTCAGGCAGGAAGGAATCCAGGTGTGGTCTTCCACAGCAAGGGTCTGGCCCATAACCACTCCTGATGTATGTGTGCATTCTAGAATCCCATGGCCCAAGGAGGCTGCTCCTTAGCACAGGCAGCCACCTAGGGTTGCTCAGAAGTGAGTCCAGGGAAACTGTAAACTGGAGCAGTAGTAACCACATCTGTCCCAGAAGGGAGCCCAGCCCTCGAGGTTCGCTGCAGTGGAGGTGCGAGCACATGCTATTTATTGCCCGTTGCAAAGGAAGCCTGGCCTCCACCACTGTCTGCAGCTCTGAGTGATAAGAGTTCTGCTCAGCATCCAATAGCAGACAACATGCTGCTCTGCGCCTTGTCTGCACAGAGCACCAGGCACCTGATGCAGGGAGAGTCTCAGTGGTGCAGTTTGCCGCCTCCAGGTCAGAAGTGAGTGTGTCTGACCATAAAGGCATGTGAGGCCAGCAGGAGAGCTGTGCCCAGAAACACAGGGAGGGTTCCAATGGGGTCTTTCATTGAGTTTCCACGACACCAGACACCTGCTATTCAAATAAGCATTGACTAGGAAGGAGAAAGATGAGGCTTTCTGCTACCATGAAGATTTACAGCCTCGGAAATGCAGAGTCACTATGAGTCAGAACCGACTCTATACAGAGTCACTATGAGTCGGAACTGACTCCACGGCACATAATAACAAGTATTCCCTGGAGCCCTGGTCTGATGCTGCCCTTTGTGGCCAGACACTGTAGAATAATAATGCACTCAACTGGAAGATCGGTTTGAACCGCAAGGTTGGTGGTTCAAACTCACCAGCCGCTCCTCGGTAACCCTACACAGGGTTGCTATGAGTCAGAACCAACTGGACGATGACAACAGTACTCCCTGGTGGTGCAAAAGGTTAATGCTCTTGGCTGCTAACTGAATAGGTTAGATATTTTAATCCATCCAGAGATGCCTTGGAAGAAAAATCTGGAAGTAGATCTACTTCTGAAAAATCATCCACTGAAAACTCTGTGGATCACAGTTCTACTCTGATACACATGTGGTTACCATGAGTCAGAGCCAACCCAATGGCAATTACATTTTTCATCAGCTCCTACAGAGTCTTGGTGTGGCGCTGTGGATTAATGCGCTGGACTGCAAAGTCATCTGAATGGCAAGGTGGGTGGTTCAAGCTCACCAGTCACTCCTTGGAAACCCTATACAGAGTTGTTATGGGTCGGAATTGACTCGACAGCACTCAACAACAACAGGGTGGGGGGCCCAAGCAATTTTTTTTTTAAATCCTTTTTGTCTAATATGATATCTGAGACTATCAAGTGCTCAACAAATATGTGTTAACTAAGGAGCCCTGGAGTCCTTGTGTGGTGCTGTGGGTTAATGTGGTGGGCTGCAAAATCTGCTTGAAACACAATATCGAAGGTTCAAGTTCACCAGTTGCTCCTCAGAAGCCCTATACAGGGCCGCTATAGGTTGGAACCAACTCAATGGCACTTAACAAGCAGCCCTGATAGCAAAGTGGATTATGAGCTGGGCCGCTCAAGGTCAGCAGTTTAAATCTACTAGCTGCTTCGTGGGAGAAAGGTAAAGCTTTCTGCTCTCGTAAAGATTTATAGCCTCAGAAACCCTGTGCCTGGTCACTATGAGTCGGAACCGACTCGGTGACACACACCCACAAAGGCACACACACAAACTGTAAATGGCTTTCACATAGTTCACAGTTGAGGATTTTCGGTACTTGACACCTACCAATGTAGAAACTCACAAGTTGTCTAAGTCATTCCTTTGCAGTTCTGATAAGAGAGGAAAATGGTGTGAGCAAGAAAGACTATCCCAGCTTAGCTGGCTGTGTGAGATGGGAGAGATACTGGTGTTAACGTTGGAGCATGGATCCAGTTCATCCAACCCATGAAGGGCCTACTATGCACAGGGATATGCTGGGAAGTCTGGGGGGCAAAACTGAGGCCTAACCCCAAGGAGCCCCTGCCTCTTAGGGAAAATGAACAACTATGGCTGGCCATGGTCATCTAGGATGATTGGACAGTGCTGGTATAGAGATGGAGGATAAGCGCAGAACCCCAAGGTCAGTTTGCATCACAAGATCGGCGGTTCAAATTCACCAACTATTCCTCAGAAACCCTATACTGGGTCACTATGAGTCAGAACCGATTCGACGGCACTTAACAACGACACCCATGATAGAGCCTGATCCAGTTGGTGGAGGCACAAAGAGGGGAGAAGACATACTGAGTTTGCTTGAGGACAGGGTCCAGAACATGCCAGGAGGGGGAATGTGCTGTGTGAAAGCCCAAAAGCTGTGTACTCAGCCGCCAAACACATGGCGCTTCCTTTCTGCCACAGTGTCTTTGCACATGCTGTCCCCTATGCCTGGAATATGGTGACAGGGGGCACACACAAATGTATACAGAGGCAGGAGGCCAGGAGAGGGTTTGAGGATTCAGAAAGGATTTGAGAGCCAGGCTGAGACTTGAGTTTCAGTAGCTTTTCCTCCCCATTATGTCTTGGAGTCCTGGGATAGCACCATAGGATAAGTACTGGACTGAAAGGTCAGTGTAAACTGAAAGATCAGCAATTCAAACTCATCAGCTGCTCCTTGGAAACCCTATACAAGGTCTCTGTGAGTCAGAACTGACTCAGTGGCACTTAACAACAATATCTTGTAGGACCAAGGGAGCTAGTTAGGTGCCTGCTTCCACAACCTAATGTGACCAGGAGGAGGGTAAAGCCAGGGAATGGGAGAGGAGAGATTGGCAAATATAGTGTATTCCGGTGATAGAGGGTTTGCCAAGTCAGGTTGGCTAGGTGGGGTGGGATACATGCATCTCTGCTTCAATGCCAAGGTCTCCTTCCTAAATACACTTGGGAGAGCAGGCCAGTCCAGGGAAGAAAGTGGATGTTTGTGAGGGCTTGCTCCAGCATCCACACATTCATAAACGGGGACCAGAGAGAGACAGCGGTTGACAGAAAGTCACACAGTACACCCAGTAACAGAATCCAGTCTTGCCCTCTGCCTCGTCTTTTCATTTATGTTCCTTTCTCTTCATCCCTCACCTTCTATCCGAATGAAAGAACTCAGGAGCAGTTGCTAGAATTGGCAACTCCTGACCCTCATTTGGTTCATGGGGGAGCAGGCTTGGCTGGAATGAGGTGGGACATTAAGTTAACAGCCCCTCTGGAATGGCTCTGGCTCTGAACTCCTCTTAAAAAATTTGTCTTCAACCCCGAAAACGAATCAAGGAACCTTGTAAAGAATAGTTATTGACAGAAAGCTGCTTGGGGAGCTCCAGGGGCTGGGTCCATGAATCAACTCGCTAGCGAAATGAGATTTCTCAGACAGCCAGGGCTGCAGCCGAAACAGAGTCCATCCTCACCACACTGCTCCACTCCAAAGCTTTTCTTTTCTTTTTTTTCAGGACCCACCATATTCCTGCATGACCGCCTTTAATTGACTAATGTTGTTTGTTGTTAAGTTCTGTCAAGTCTGTTACAACTCATAGCAACCCTTTCC